ACTTTTGTTTAAGCAAAAGAAACGCGAGTTTAATGCCATACTGTAAAACATTCCTCGCAAAGAAATAACGTTGCCATAGCGACAAGCAGGTACTATACCCTCGGCAACAAAAGGTACATAGTGAATCTTTAAAATAAAATTGTTTACTTGATTTTCAGCTTTTCAATTTCAGTTAATTCAGGAGTGACAGTTACATCTCCATGGAAACAAGCACAGCGTATCCTTATCACAAAAGTTCCACAGTGCACACCTCTAAACTCTAAACTGTTACAGGCATCGCAGTGACATCGCCATGGAAACGAGCAGTTCCACAGTGCACCTTTAAAATTAAATGGTTAAAGTGACGTAAACTTCTCAATTCTACTCAAATCTAAATCGTTACTGGCAAAGCAATGACCGTTATATAATATTTATGGAGACAAGCAGGTAGAGTTGACCCTTGACAACAAAAGTTACATGGTGTGTCTTTAAAAAGTAGATTTAAATTGGCGTAAACTCAAATCAGAATCTTACATCCACAGTTTTTAAGTCATAGTTTGGAGATATGTTTTTGCAGTGTGTGGTACTACTTTTCTCGGTGGACTGATATGCACCATCACAGCCTCATCACAAACACAGATCTTTAAAATAATTGTGTAAAATTATTTAACATTTTGTAAAATAGTCAAAGCAAAATTGTTGTTCCCTTGACGTAAACTCAAATTAAAATCTTTAAATCCTCATTTTTTAAGTCAGAGTTTGGAGATATCTTTTTGCAATGTGTGGTACTACTTTTCCTGGTGGACTGATATGCACCATCACAGCCTCATCACAAACACAGATCTTTAAAATAAAATTCTATAAAATTGTAAAAGTTAAATAGTTAAAGTAAAATTGTTGTCTCCTTGACATTAACTCAAATGAAAATCTTTAAATCCACATTTTTAAGTCATAGTTTGGAGATATGTTTTTGCAGTGTGTGGTACTACTTTTTTCCCCGGTGGACTGATACACATCATCACAGCCTCATCACAAACACGCATCTGTAACATAAAATTGTAAAAAATGTTAAAATTATTGTTGACAAGTTAAAAATGGATTTAAACGGATGTAAACTCAAATCAAAATCTCAAATCTACATTTTTTAAGCCATAATTTGGTCATATCTTTTTGCAGTGTGTCGTACTACTTTTCCTGGTGGATTGATATTCACCGTCACAGCCTCATCACAGACACAGATCTTTAAAAATAATTGTGTAAAATTAATTAGCATTGTGTAAAATAGTCAAAGCAAAAATGCTGTTCCCTCGAAGTAAACTCAAATCTTCAAATCTGCGTTGTTTTAAAGTCATAGTCTCATCTTTTTTGCAGTGTGCGGTTCTACTTTCTTTCCCCGGTGGACTGATATGCACCGTCACAGCCTCATCACACACAGACGCACACACACACACACACAGACGCACACACAGATTGTTTACTCTCATAATGGGGTCCAGAGCGGAGCCGGTGCCAAAGCAAACAGGACCTAATTACACTGTGGTCTATGAGGAGTGCACTTTCCTCTGGGCTTTATTAGCATATTTAAAAGTGTTTGTGTGTTTACTCGCGCTATAGAACGCCGCGCCGTTTATTATGAACCGCGCCCGTACGTTTACCATGCCCCCCGTGTGTGCGCACATGTGTGTGAACGTCAATAATTGTACGAAAAGTGTTAAAAAACGTGTATAAATCCTGATACTGTGCGTTTAAACTGCGTATTTATGTTACGTTTTGATGTTTTTCTCGTTATTTCTTTGTTGGAATAGCACCTGTAGTCAATATTTATTATCATTTTACATCATTTAAAGGTGTATTGTGTAAGTTTTTGGTTGGGAATGTTCCACAGTGTGACTTTAAACAGCTTTACGTTACATTTATTCAATTACAAGTGGTTTTAAAGCTCCAAAATACCTCAAAAAACAGAATTTCTGACTGGGAGCAGGGGTCGCCTCTCCGCAGATCTGACTTGTAACCTAGACCTTGCACCAGGAAAGTTACGCAATGCACCTTTAAGTGTTGAAGCGTTTGTGGGGGAAAAAGTTGAAGAAAAGTACAAAAATACAGGAAATGGCGCCAAGTTCAACACAAAAAAACTAAATTTACGCAAAATAAAGGCATTTTTCTGACACTTTAAACCTCCATTTAACAAAATAAAAGTGTTATAATTTATTTGTATTTGTCTAATCATAAATATTAATAATTTTGACAAGTTTCAGCTCTTGTTTACATTATGGTTGCTAGGTAACGGTTACAAAATTACCTCTACGTGTAAGGGATGTGCCAAAATATTGAAATTTCTATATATCGTATTGTTTAATGTGATGATACAGTATCGATATCGTGGGCTGCTGTATCGATATATATCTCCAAGAGTGTTTTTAGGTGTATTTTACGAAATTATTTTGTGTAAGAGCTACAGTTGTGTTGACATTGTCACTGTTTTGAGTAAAATTGGTGTTTTTCATTTTAACTTTGTGGTTGAACAAAGACTTTTAGTATCAGAGCCATGATTGACGCTTTGTTTTTTGACTGAACAGTATTGAATCGGTTTGAAATATATATCGTATCTAATCGTATTGAATCGAAAGCTCACTGTATTGAAAAAAAAACAAAAAACTATCGTATCGTGGCCTATGTATCGAGGTATGTATCGTATTGACACCCAGCCCTGTCTACGTACCCAGTCTGTCGTCACCTAGTGCCTTCGCTCAATTTAATTTCTCTCCAGCGACTAGGTCAGGAATCAGAATACACTAGACAGTTTGCAAAATCCCCGGAAGTTTTAGACCGCGCACTGACCAATCAGAGAAGAGCTGACGTCAAACTCGTCGCGTCTCTCTGTGTCCCTTTTGTGGAACAGTAAACAAAGCGTCGAGATGGATGTAGACGAAGACAGACGTTCTGTGTTGGCGACGATTCCCGAGATCGAGGATTTAAAGCCGGAACAAAGAGAATGTTTGGTGAATTTCATTAAGGGGAAAGACGTTATTGGAATTTGGAGCATTACATACGTCATGACCAAATAGCAGCGATTGGTTAAATACAAAAAGTACCCACCTACCGTCGAGCGAACGAATCCTAATACTGCGAGGTCAGACTGTTTCCACAAAGTGAAACCGGTTGATGAATCAGGCTCCACGACATGTGTCATTTTTAGATTTTAATTTACTATACTTGTACCAGTTTTTACAAAGCCTGGCTTGAGCATGACACTTCACCAACTTTTTCACTATGTCTTTCATATACATACCCCAGATACATACCTCGATACACAGGCCAAGGTACGATGCATATTTCGATACATAGGCCATGTTTTGATACATACCTCAAAACATAAGCCATGAAATGATACATACCTCGATACATAGGTCATGATGCAGTACATACTTCAATTTGTTACATACCTTGATACATACTTTGATACATAAGCCACGACACGATGAATACTTCGATACGCAGGTCACATGTTACGATGCATACCACGATACATAGTCCATGATACAGTACATACCTCGATACATAAGTGTCGATACGATAAATACCTCGATACATAAACGTTGATACGATACGTACCTCAATACATAAGTGTCGATATGATACATACCTCAATACATAAGCTACGACACGGTACATACCTCGATACGTAAGCCACGGTACAATGCATATTTTGATACATAGGCCATGTTATGATACATACCTCAAAACATAAGCCATGAAATGATACATACCTCGATACATAGGTCATGATGCAGTACATACCTCGATATGATACATACCTCGATACATACTTTGATACATAAGCCACAACACGATGAATACTTCGATACACAGACCACATGTTACGATACATACATAGGCTACAATATGATGCATATTTCGATACATAAGTCACGGTACGATGCATATTTCGATACATAGGCCATATTATGATACATACCTCGAAACATAAGCCACGAAACGATACATGCCTCGATACATAGGCCACAATACGATGCATATTTCGATACATAAGTCACGGTACGATGCATATTTCGATACATAGGCCATGTTATGCTACATACCTCGAAACATAAGCCACAAAACGATACATGCCTCGATACATAGGTCACGATACATACCTCGATACAATACATACCTCAATACATAGGCAACAAAATTATGCATACCTTGATACATAAGTCACGGTACGATGCATATTTCGATACATAGGCCATATTATGATACATACCTCGAAACATAAGCCACGAAACGATACATGCCTCGATACATAGGCCACAATACGATGCATATTTCGATACATAAGTCACGGTACGATGCATATTTCGATACATAGGCCATGTTATGCTACATACCTCGAAACATGAGCCACAAAACGATACATGCCTTGATACATAGGCCACGATACGATACATAACTCGAAACATAAGCAATGATACAATACATACCCCGATACATTGTGCTTACGATTCAGTACGATTCAGTACAATACATTTCAAATCGATACGGTTATGGTTCGATACTTTTCAATAAAAATAAAGTCTAAATCATGTCTGTGATACTAAAAGTCTTTGTTAAATCACTTCTTCTTGTGCAAAGTTCAAATGAAACACAAACATTTTAATCATCAAAACAATGAAAATGTCAAACGTGTCGCACAAATGAGTTTCCTTCCTCTGAACAAACAACAAAACTGTAGCTGTGTAACAAATAATTTAGTAAAATGCACCAAAAAAAATACTCTTGGCGATATATCGATCCAGCAGCCCACGATATCGATACTGTATCATCACAATAAATGAAACGATTTGTCGATATTTAGATATTTTTCAATTTACGACATGAAAAATTTGCTTCACTTCTTTTAATATCACTTAAAAAAAGAATCTAGAACCTTAAATCTGTAATGTTGTGTTATTTTTTGTGATACGTCGTGGCTGATTGTCGTGTTTATTTGTGCGTTCGTTTGTGCGTTTTGTTTCCAGGTGTGGTTTCAGAACAGGAGGTCTAAAGAGCGGAGGATGAAGCAGCTCAGCGCGTTAGGGGCCCGGAGACACGCCTTCTTCAGGAGCCCCAGACGAATGAGGACCCTGGTGGACCGTCTGGAGCCCGGAGAACTCATCCCCAACGGGCCCTTCTCCTACTACGGAGGTGAGAACGCCGGGAACGCTGGGAACGCTGCGAACGCCGTGTGTGTGTTAGCTGAGTTTAGTTGATTATTTATTTGTTAGGAACCTTGTACAAATTAATTAATCGTACAGAAGAAATTTACTGTTCAATAAAGTCGCGTCATGCACAGTTACGCACTCGGAGGATGTTATGTTTTAGTCAACTTAAAGGCGCTGTACCTGATTTTTACGTCTTAAAAAACGTGAACTAGTCAATTTTAAACAGTTTGCAGTCGTCTAAAGTTATTCCTCTCTTACGTTTTCGCTGTGAAGAAGTATAAATATAAAAAAAATAATAATAATAATGAATAAAAAGTGATACCAGTGGAACATTTCACCTGAGGTATGGGTTGGAAATTGGAAATGTTGGAAACAAATATTTTACGATTATTACGAATTCATTTTACTGATTTAGCAAGAAAAACTTTTTAGAGTCTAAAATAAACTGGTACTAAACCAGGACTAAAACAAGATTAGGCCAGGTCCAGACCAGGACTAAACCAGAAAGAGACCTGGACTAAACCAGGACCAAACAGGACTAAACCAGGACTAAACCAGGAATAAACCAGGACTAAACCAGGATTAAACCAGGTCTACACCAGGACAAGACCAGGACAAGACCAGGACAAGACCAGGACTAAACCAGAACTAAACCACTATTAAACCAGGACCAAACCAGGACTAAACCAGGTCTACACCAGGACAAGACCAGGACAAGACCAGGACTAGACCAGGACTAAACCAGGACTAGACCAGGACTAACCAGGACTAAACCAGGACTAAACCACTATTAAACCAGGACCAAACCAGGACTAAACCAGGTCTACACCAGGACTAGACCAGGACTAAACCATGATTTAACCAGGACAAAACCAGGACTAGACCAGGACTAAACTAGGACCAAACCAGGACAAATCCATGATTAAACGAGGACTATACCAGGACAAAACCAGGATTAGACCAGGACTAGACCATCACTAAACCATGATTAAATCTTGATTAAATCAGGACTAAATGAGGATTACAGCAGGATTTGACCAGTACCAAACCAGTACCAAACCAGGACTAAACTATGGTTAAACCAGGACTAGACCAGGTCTAAACCACAATTAAATTAAATCGGAACTGAACCAGGACTAAACCAGGACTAAATCAGGATTACACCAGCACCAAACTAGTACCAAACCAGGACTAAACCAGGACTAAAGCAGAACCAAACCAAAGTCTACCTCAGAACAAAACTGGGCCAATAGAAAGACAGAAAAAAACACAAAAAAAGCAGTAGAAATAACTGATAAAGTGAATTTCTTGCTACCAACATTTAGAACAATATTTTTGAACATATTTAACCGAGACTCCATTTTGTCCCACACTTTCCCCGTCACTCATCTTCTTCTCGATAACGCATTAATGATTTTCTTAAGATATATGCTTTTATTAAATCACAAACCGTCCGTAGTTTAAACCGAACCCCCTTTTGTCGTCGCCGCCGCCGCCGTCGTTATAAATCATGCAAACGTTCCGACGCGGCGACCTCCGGCGACCTTTCCGCGCCTACGATTTTTAACTGAGTTTGCTCGGACATTATTGCTCGTACATTTTTAAAATCCAATTAAAAGAAGGCCGTCTTGTGTTGACCTCGTTTGCGCGCCCGTGTGTGTGCGTGTGTGTGCGTGCGTTTCTTACACACACGTTTGCACACGTCACGCTGGAGTTAGTTTACATTTCAATGATTGCACTGGTTCAAGAAAGGCTTTGAAAATTCTCATCGTTTTCAGACAAATTGCATCGGCGCCGGGCTGCTTTTGTCCTCGGCGCTCGGGCTAAAAAAAGACGAGAAACTGTTGTAATTTTGTGCTGAGTTGAAAAAAAAAAAAAAAAAAAAGGAGAAAAAAAGGACGTCTCAGTAGGTGGAATAGCTGATGAAATGGGGCTATTTTAATTAATTTTGTGGGCGCGTTGTTCCTCCCACCCAAGCGCGGTTTTGATTTAAGTGCAGCGTGTGTGTGTGTGTGTGTGTGTGTGTAGGGGTGTGTGTGTGTGTGCGTTTAGGCGAGGGGATCAGACAAATCGTTCTACGTCGCTCCGTCGATGCTGGTAAAAAAGATGCACTGTGGAACTTTTCTGGTGGAGTTACTTGGACTGAACCAGGACTAAATCACGACTGAACAAGGACTAAACCAGAGCTAAAACAGGACTAAACCAGGACTAGACCACAATTAAACTAGGACTGAACCAGGACTGAATCAGGACTAAACCGCAATTAAATCAGGACTGAACTTGGACTAAACCAGGACTAAATCGCAAGTAAATCAGGATTAAACCAGAGCTAAACCAGGACTAAACCAGGACTAAACCAGGACAAGACCAGGACTGACTCAGGACTAGACCAGGACTGAACCAGGACTAAACCAGGACTGAATCAGGACTAGACCAGGACTGAACCAGGACTAAACCAGGACAAGACCAGGACTGAATCAGGACTAGACCAGGACAAGACCAGGACTGAATCAGGACTAGACCAGGACTGAACCAGGACTAAACCAGGACAAGACCAGGACTGAACTTGGACTAAACCAGGACTAAACTTGGTCTAAGCCAGGACTAAATCATAAGTAAACCAGAACTAAACCAGATCTGTGGTAACTGTATATGTACAAGTCAAAATAAAATAGAAAAATAAGTAATAAAATATGAAATAACAGCTGTAAATAAGAGGTTATAAGGAGAAACATGATGACTGACAGGACATGGGGTTATCTGTTACATAAGGCTGAGTTGTTGTACAGTTGTAGGGAGTATTATCTGTTACATAAGGCGAGTTGTTGTACAGTTGTAGGGAGTATTATCTGTTACATAAGGCTGAGTTGTTGTACAGTTGTAGGGAGTATTATCTGTTACATAATCTGTTACATGTACAGCATGTTAGCGTTGGAGTTTTTAGGACACTCAGAAGCACTACTGTTGTAAAACTATGGAGCTGAACCTGATTTTTATTGTCTTAGAGACCAGTAACATCAGACAAACATCAGACTTTCCAGCAGAAATGTTACACCTTTTAAAATGACCAGAACACAAAATGAGTTTGCTTAATGTGAGAAAAGCAATCACAAATACTTTGAAACTGGTCCCAAAGACGTATTAAGAATTCCAGACTAGTTAAAGCTCAGGTGTCAAACATACGGCCCGGGGGCCAGATCCGGCCCTCCAAGACCTTTAATGTGGCCCTCGGCTTATTTTCTACTAAAATATTTTAATGATATTTTCTATTAAAATACTGGTAATTTTCTGCGTCTCTTAGCACAGCAGCGTCTCTGTACGTGGCCCCTCCCACCAGAGCAGCACAAATGAAGACTTGTCTCTTTCCAAACGCTCTTAAAGGACGATCGTTTTGACTGTTGACCGTGACACCCTCATCAGAAAAATGTCCAACATGAGAAAAGTGGAGCCGAGTGCAGGATTTTACAACAAATATTGACTTATTCCTATTTGCAAACAAGTTCATGTTAAAACATTGTGTTGAAATTGTATTTTTCTTAAAGTTTCATGTTGTTCATAATAATATAATATTTTGTAAAAGAAAGAGTTCATCAATTAAAAAAGATTCCTGTAATAGATTTGTGTTTTTCTGCACAAATATTTGAATTTATTGATATTTTTGGGGTTTATATGACATGAGTTTTCTGAGCCCTTTGGGACCAAAATGAGTTTGACGCCCCTGAGTTAAAGGCTTCTTAAAAACATGTCTTAAAAATACAAAAAAACAGAGTTAATTTGAAACAGTTTGCAGTGATCCAAAGTGAGTCCTCACTTCACTTTCAGAGACCACATCGGACTTTTGCTTCACTGTCAAGCCACTAGCATGCCAACGCACTTCCTGATCAAACAATAAATCACTTCTAAATTTGATCTAATACAGCAGGCGGTGGATTTATTTGGATTTAAACAGCTGCTTATAGATGTGTGTATCTGTACTGCTCAATACATGCGTTAAAAATCACGTACAGGACCTTTAAACTCATGGATAACATAAGATTTTTTGTTTTATCAGAACTTTTTTTGAACAATAGTTGCTTTTTATCATTCTTGTAGTGTCCTTTCATAGAACAATTCAATTCAAAACAAACTATAGTAATTAAAATTGAAAAGAAAAGGTAAAGCAAACTAAATTACAACAAGATTTTGATTTTATTTTGCGTTTAATGTCAAGTTCAGTTATGTTTTATTATTATTTTATTTTCTTTTAGGTTTTGAGCAGTGTGAGTTTTAAATATACCATGTTTGCGTGTTGTGCTTGGCCTGACCCACTTGTGTGGATCATGTCATCTGTTCGGACGATCAATGAGCTCTGATCGATGAAACGCTTCGTCTGATTGGCTCTAACTCGGCTTGGTTTTGCTTTGGAAAATGTTCTATATTATATTTATTTTTGTACAATTTCCTTTTAAAATCTCAAACTCAAACTTGTGAAATATCAACACGACCAGACAAAAGTTTAGGCACAATAATTTCACAATTGTTTGTTTGTTTTTTAATGGCCATTTTCACATTTTGGAATCTCCTGAAAACTAGATCAGGACTAAACCAGGACTAAACAAGGACTAAAACAAGAACTAGACCAGGAATAAACCAGGACTAAACAAAGACTAAAACAAGGACTAAACCAGGACTAATCCAGGAATAAACCTGGACTAAACCTGGACTAAACCGGGACTAAATACGGACTAAAGCAAGAATAGGCCAGGACAAGAAAATAAGTAGACCAGGATTAGACCAGGACTAAACAAGGACTAAAACAAGAACTAGACCAGGAATAAACCAGGACTAAACCAGGACTAAACTAGGACTAGACCAGGACTAAACAAGGATAAGACCAGGACTAAACAAAGACTAAATCTAGGACTAGACCAGGACTAAATAATGACTAAACTAGGACTAAACCAGGACTAAACAAGGACTAAAACAGGACTAGAGAAGGATTAGACCAGGACTAAACCAGAACTTAACAAGGACTAAAACAAGACTAGACTAGGACTAAAGCACGACGAAACCAGAACTAAACCAGGACTAAATCAGGAATAAACCAGGACTAGACCAGGACTAAACAAGGACTAAGACGAGGGCTAGAGCAGGACTAAAACAGGACTAAATCAGGATTAAACCAGGATGAAACAAGTGCTAGACTAGGACTAGACCAGGATTTAACAATGACTAAAACGAGGGCTAGAAAAGGACTAAAACAAAGACTAGACCAGGACAAAACAAGGACTAAAATAAGGGCTGGACCAGGACTAAACAAGGATTAAACTAGGACTAAACAAAGACTAAAACAAAGACAAGACCAGGACTAAACCAGGACTAAAACAAAGACTAAAACAAAGACAAGACCAGGACTAAACCAGGACTAAAACAAAGACTAAAACAAAGACAAGACCAGGACTAAACCAGGACTAAAACAAAGACTAAAACAAACAAAGACAAGACCAGGACTAAACCAGGACTAAAACAAAGACTAAAACAAAGACAAGACCAGGACTAAACCAGGACTAAACCAGGACTAAAACAAGGACTAAAATAAGAATAAACCAGAACTGAACCAGGACTAGAAAAGGAGTAGATCAAGACTAAACAAGGACTAAAAACCAGGGCTGGACCAGGACTAAACCATGATTAACCAGGTTGCTGAAAATTCCTCCATAGACATCCATGTCCTACCCTCCAGCACTATGTCATTTTCGCTGACGTGTGGTCTTTCCTCTCTCTGCAGACTACCAGAGCGAATACTACGGTCCGGGAGGGAACTACGACTTCTTCCCGCAGGGGCCCCCCTCGTCCCAGGCTCAGACCCCCGTGGACCTGCCCTTCGTGCCCTCCTCGGGCCCCACCGGGACCCCGCTGGGAGGCATGGACCACCCGCTCCCCGGCCACCACCCGTCCAGCGAGGTCCAGCGCTTCTCCGAGATCATGTCCCACCATCCCGGAGACTCCCCCAGCCCGGAGCCGGGCATCCCGGGGCCGCTCCACAGTATCCCGTCGGAAGTGTTCGGCCCCAGCCCCCCCTTTACCTCACTGTCCCTGAACGGCAGCGGATACAACAGCCACCTTTCCCACCCGCCTTCGGAAATGAGCGAGGGCACCGTGTGGTAGCCGGGAGACGCCAAGGATTCGAACTTCTGAATATGAGGAGGAGGAAGAGGAGGAAGAAAAGGAGGGATGGGCAGACTTTGGGAGGAGGGGGTCCAGGCAGGGAAAGGGAACGGCCCCGGGAAACGTGCACGAGGAGAGATTTATAAACACACTGGAATTCTCCCACACCGATTACAATGCCACTTTTTTTGGTAATAGAATCTAACTTTCAACAAAAATAATAATACAAAATTTATCTAAGCATGAGATCTTATACTCCACACCTGCTCAAATGAATATCTACTTTTGATATTTGTTTTAGTATCTGATTTTTGATATTTTTGACGAGCCTACACTGAAATGAACATTGTGAAAGTTGAAGGGTGTTTATTTCTTAATCATCTCCTCGGGCTCCTGGCGTTAAACGTGGGGCCCGAGGAAATATTTATTTATATATAGACTAGATTTTATTATAAATTCAAGTTTGCTTCTTTAAACTTGCCAATAATGATTCACACGGTGTTCGCTGTTACAAATCTGACGACATCGTTCACATGAAAATCTCTTCTACTAATTTAATCTCTGAGCTGTGAAAACCAAAATCTGACTTGTAGTGTTTCTTTCTTCTGTTCTATTTCCCATCAGAATTAGACTTTACTGAGTTTTCCTGCATGAGCAGAGTTTCCCAAATGTCTAAACAGTGTCTCTTTATAAACTCTCCTTGTACCGGCCCCGGGGCCCAAACTGAGCTTTACTTTGGGTGACCTCATATTTATTATTTATTTATTTTTGCTTTGGCGTTCTGTGCGAGAACTGAATATTTCTCTTGTGTTTTGGTGTTTTGAGTGCAACGTTTCAAACGCCCGACCTGAGAGACTGGATTTAAACAGGGCACAGACTGATCTGCTGAGGGACCCCCCCTCTGGGACCCCCGTTTCGAGGACCCCCGCCCTCTGGGACCCCCCCGCCCTCTGGGACCCCTCCACTGTTTGTTTTGTATGATTTTTGTCCTGGGGCTGTGACCAAACGGCCCCTGCGCTGTGGCTCCGGCCGCGGGGCTCACACTGTCACAGTTCTTGGGGAGCTACTGTCAAAGACTGGTTTAGCTTTACACAGACGCCGCGCTGGATCTGTCGAGTCCTCGGACTAAACAGGAAGTTCCTCAAACCTCTCTGCCATACTGACCTTTGACCTTTTGGACAAGCCAGAGGAGGCGGCCATTTTTCCTCCGCTGGGAGCGTCTCAGATGGCTCTTGTCTCCTCAGTCCTTCGCCGAGTTTGGACTGTAAATTGTACCTGTGCAGTTTTGCACGGCGCCCCCTTGAGGAGGCTTCAGTCAGGACATAAGTGTCCCATAGAGTCTTTTATGATGTGAATGAGGATTTGATTTGCACTACACTATGTGTACGCTCTGAAACACACGATTGGTCTAAACAGTGTTGTCAGATATTTAGCATGAGGAGAGGGTCTGGAACCCCCCTCCCCCAAACCCCAGAGTGAACCCGACCCTAGACTACGACGTCTATCTCCCGTAGATCAGACACGTAACAGTTTTGTGTCTCTGATTGGCTGTTGTTGTGATAACTGCTCATTTTGCTCCTGAATTTGGATTCACTGTAAGTTGGTCTGAAGGGCCTGGCCAGGCCGGGCCCCTGTACATTTTATATTGTTTGTAATATTTATTGTTTGAGGCTAAGTTATAATAGCCCCAGTCCACTGTTTGTGCAGATTGTCTAAATAAAGAGGAGGAATGAACCTGCATGTGTTAGTTTGAGTTTGTGACGTTTGTGAAGAACAATCAGGTCAAACATGTAACTTTACGACGAGCTGAAGGAGGCTCCTCGTCTCCTCTGTGGGCGGGACTAGGACACGAGGAGAGGATGCAAGTGAAGGAAACGAGGAGGCAAAACAAAGTATTTGAGACGCTCCCAGAGAAATCTTCTTTTGTTTCCTCTGAGCTGGTGTTTGAGAATCCAGCCACACTGGAGCAGAGCGCCTTCTAAAGGCCGGCCCTGGGACTGCGATCCCTTTATTCTGATGAATGAAGTCTACCTTCTAAAAGTGCTGGGTTCTACTGGGACTGGAACAGTCAACTGTTTACGCACTACTTCTTCAGGAGTCCGAGTCTGAACCGAGTTTTAGAACCTCGCAATTCACATGAAAATGTTCCAAGCAACCAACCAAACTTTTGTATGATTCATTTCTATGGTACGAGAACATTTGGGGTTGTGGTTCACTGTGCTAGTTTGTACACAATGTTGTTTACAAAAACATTTGAAAAACAATAAAAACATGTAGACAGTTGCCAAATGAAAAAAAAAAAAAAAGAACAGCACAAATATTGTTGACGTGCTTTGCACCATCACCTGCAGAGGGAGCTCACGAGAGCTGGTTCATTCATAAAGTGTTCCTATAACATACTTAGACAGCTTTTATTTTTGTGTCTTCGGAGCAAATCCAAACTATTAAAGTCGATGGTGAAAGATGCAGTTTGAGCCGTGTCTCTTTGTCCTCAAAATCAGTCGACAGGCCAGAGTCTAGAGGCAGAGCATCAGGCTTTAGGCCGACGTTACTTTAGACAGACTTTGTTTCACTGTAGTTTACTCCTCTTTTAGTCCTGGTTCAGTTCTGGTTCAGTTCTGGTTCAGTCCTGGTTCAGTTCTGGTTCAGTTCTGGTTCAGTTCCTGGTTCAGTTCTGGTTCAGTTCTGGTTCAGTTCTGGTTAACTCCTGGTTTCGTCTTTGTTATTGAAGTTTGGTTTGGTTTAGTTTCAGTCGTGGTTCAGTCGAGCTCATCACAAATCCCGGTTTAGACCTGCTCCTATTTCCTGGTTCTTTCCCGTCTTCTCATTCTGCTGTTTTGAATTATGTATCTCGTCTTTATTCCTGTCATAAAATCTCTCTCTCTTCCTCGCTCCCCTTCTCCCTCCCCTCCTCCTCTTCCTTCTCTTTCCTTCTCTCTCTCTCCTGCTCTTTCTCTTCCTCTCTGTTGCACCTCACTACCTCCTTTCTTTCTCTCTTTCCCTTCTCTTGTCTACGGCACATCTCTCCCTCCTCCTCTCTGCCGCATGTCGCTCTCTCTCTTTCTCCTCCTCCTGTATGCAGCACGTCTCTCTCTCTCTGTCCCCTCTCTCTTTCGCCCTGTCTTCTACATGTCTCTCTCCCTCTCTTTCCTCCTGTCTTTTGCGTCTCCCTCTCTCTCCTCTCCCCCTTCTTCTCTCTCCGCTCCTCCTGTCATCTGCACATCTCTCCTCTCTCTTTCCTCCCGTCTCCTCCTGTCTTCTCTCTCTCTTTTCTGCGAGTATGAGATGATTGTCCTCTCCCCCTCCTCTCTCTCTCTCCTTTCCTCCTGTCTTCTGCACATCTCTTTCTCTCTCTCTTTTTCCTCTGCGAGTGAGGGATGATTGTCCTCTCCCGGGCGCTGACAGGTAAACATTTGTTAATTCTGATTAATGCAGCTCAGAGACACTGGGGGAAACTGACACCGACGTGATGGAGGGAGAGCGGAAGGACGACAGGAGAGAGGGAGGAGGGAGGAGGGAGAGATGACGAGACAATAATACAAAGGAAGATATGAGCGAGGGAGAGGAGAAAACAGACAGCATGAAAGAGAGGGGTGGGCAAGAGGAAACGAAAGATGACAAGAGGAGAAAGCTGGAGAAAGAGAGAGAGAGAGAGCGCAGAGAGAAAAAAGAGAAAGAGAAAGAGGGATGCAGGTATTAGAGACAGAGAGAGAGAGAGAAAGGTTCATGGAGGATTAGTCTCGTCACAAACAAAAGCAGTTTTCACGAGAGCGACGGTGATACAACCAAAATTATTCAAACAACAAAAGGTTTTATTTATTATTATGACAAACCTCCGTTCAACACGATACGGGACGTTCCAGGCAACGCAGCAGAATCTCCATGGAGACGAGCAGGCGGCAGACGAACCACCAGAAAAGTTACATAATGCATCTTTAACATTGTTGATTTTTTTATATATATTTTTTTAACTGTATTGCTTTTTTGCGATATACAAAATTTATATAACATTGTCTTCAGTAACACATTTCACAGTTTTGCACATTTGAATTATTCAGAAAAAAAAAAAAAAAATAAAAATAAAATAATAATAAATAATAATAATAATAATAATAATAATATAATAATAATAAATATTTTAAATTAGAAATAAAATAAAAAACAAACAGAACAAATCACCTGCACAAAAAAATAATAATAATAAAAAATTAAAAATATATAATAAAAATAAATAAATAAAAAAGCAGAAATGACAACAACAAATTTGAACAAAAACCAGTGGGGAAAAAGAAAATGTATTTAATCCCCAGTCCTCTAGTCTAACACAATGAGCTTTCTTTCACATTTTACAGGCGTTTAAATTTATTAAACTATATGAAGTATTTACAAGTGCAGAAAAACAGTTAGATATATTCATAAATAAATATATATTACAGGGCTGTCTCAGTATTTACCTAAAATAGTCAGTAAATGGTTGCTGGATCACATAAAAGAGCTCTTGTTTGTTTCTCAGTGATTTTTTATTTATTTATTCATTTATTTATTTTTATTTATTTTTTTTCTTGCATTATATCTCTCAGACAATTCTGGTGGGTTGGGGAGTTTTTGCTTTTCCAACTGAGTAAAATCTGGCCAACAGTGTAACATAACTCAGGACTCTTTTGCTCACGGTTAAAATACTCATCAACATTTGTCACTCCAAAAAGTGACATCATAGGATTGATTGTTATTTTTAGGTATTTGGGATTTTATATTTTAGTTCGTAATGGTTTTATCAATGTACACTTACTTTATCTGGGGGCTGGAAGCTGGGAGCTGGAATCACACCAGGCAACCTGTGGGTCAGTGGATATAACGGCTAAAACAATCATCCATCCATTTTCTTCCGCTTATCTAAGGTCGGGTCGTGGGGGCAGCAGTCTAAGCAGGGACTCCCAGACTTCCTTCACCCCAGACACGTCCTCCAGCTCCTCCAGGGGGACCCCGAGGCGTTCCCAGGCCAGTCCAGAGACATAGTCCCTCCAGCGTGTCCTGGGTCTTCCCCGGGGTCTCCTCCCGGTGGGACATGCCCGGAACACCTCCCGAGGGAGGCGCCCAGGAGGCATCAGAACAGATGCCCGAGCCTCAACTGCTCCTCTCGACGTGGAGGAGCAGCGGCTCTACTCCGAGCTCCTCCCGTGTGACTGAGCTCCTCACCCTGTCTCTAAGGGAGCGCCCAGCCACCCTGCGGAGGAAACTCATTTCGAGCGCTTGTATCCGCGATCTCGTCCTTTCGGTCACTACCCAGAGCTCATGACCAGAGGTGAGAGTAGGAACGAAGACTGACCGGTAAATCGAGAGCTTCACCTTTCGACTCAGCTCCTCTTCACCACTATGGTCCGATACAGAAACCGCATCACTGCAGACGCCGCACCGATCCGCCTGTCAATCTCATGCTCCATCCTCCCCTCACTCGTGAACAAGACCCCGAGATACTTGAACTCCTCCACTTGAGGCAGGGACTCTCCACCCGCCCGGAGACGACAAGACGCCTTTTTACCAGTCGAGAACCATGGCCTCGGAGCCTAAACCAATCATGTTTATGTCAAAAGTGGATTCAAAAAGTGCCAACCTTCAGATTAGTGGACAAACACTGAACCAACTGAGCTACTGTCTATGTTAATATCCACACCATGAAATCTATTTTTTATTTTTATTTGTAGAATGAGTCTGAGTGAACAAGTTACTTCTGTTTAATTCACGACCATGACGTTAGTTTTGTTCAGTGTGTCACTAATGCGTCGTCGTTGTTCTCCTTTAAATTTTCGTCTTTCTTAAATCGATAGTCGTGGATAAATTCTTCTTGTTGGTTGAAGATTTGGTGATGGAGCAGATTTATGAAGCACTTCCGGTTCTTCCCGTGTCTTGACTTTTCTCCAC